AAAAAAAAAAACTCCCACTATTTCCAAGATACGAAGATACTGGTCCAAACTATCAAACATTTACTAAAAACTATTAACCTTTCGGTAGAACTAAAAGAAAAATCCGTTCCAAACTTCTTTAAAGTTAAGAAATGTCCAATAACCTCTTTTTCTTCTGTTTGTATTTCAGGCCTTCTAGCGAGTAATCTCGACACCACCTTTCTTTGGCGTTCGCAGAGGTTCTACAAAGAGGAGGCATAAAAAAGAGCCAAGTAAACAGTCAAAAGCTCATTTCACGCTCAAATATATTGTTTTTTAACCTCTCTTAATAGACCGCTTTCTTTCTAATCGAAATTTACGTTGTCCAACCCTGTTAAATTACTCCTCCCCACCATTCCTGGGGCAATCTGAACAGATTTTCCAAAAATGCGGCAGAAGAGAGAAAGTACAAAGAGCATAGCTCTAAAGTGTGAACGCGTTTTACCACAAATTTTACAAAGTTCAGCGGTTCAATACGAAGAGTACCATTTAAATAACTTACCATCAAATCGGTGAGGTACTTCGCATGTTTCTTAAACTGTCTATCGCAGTCCTCAAAAAGACGACTTTTTGTTTCGATTCTGCGCTTAAGGTCTTCCTTCTTGACTTTGAAAACTGCGATACATTCCCTCGTTCTCAGCATTTCATCTTCCAATAAAATCTTGAAAGTAGTGAAATTTTAAAATGAAATTTGTGCTAAAACAGAAAAGTTAATTAAAGGCCGTTACCTGTTCCTTAAGCACTTCACCAATCTCTTTAACACATTCCTTTCGGGCATTATTCAACTGTTCTTGTTTTCCCCTCTTTTCCTCCAAGGACACTAAAATTAACTGAACTGTTTTCTTGAAGAGTAGTACAGAGCATGAATCCCGAAACTCTCACCAAAAAAGTCTTAAACATCAATAAAACTAATTTAAAAATTCAAGGCTTATTAGCTGCCTAAAATGCAACAATTATCTAGCAACGCCTAAAAGCTCTATTAGACTAAAAAGAGAAGTTGAATACAAAAACCCTCTGCAAGCGAATAACAATTTGATACAAAAAAGTACAACTTTCAAATGTCTCAAAAAATGAATTCCTAACAACACCTTACTTTATTAATTTTGATAAAAAATATAAGTTATGATTATAAAAATTTAAAAAAACTGAAAATGATTCATAATCTTTTTCTCAAAAATGCAGATTGCAGAATACCTTTATGAGCAGCACAATTGGCGCAAATGCAAGAAGCCTTCCTTCTGCAGGCAAAACAAATCATTTTCCTATGATATCCCTTAAACTAAACATATTTGAATTGTTCAATGTTTAAGCATGAATAATTTTTTTTTTCTTTTGAGGGGCAGTCAGGGATTCAGTTTAAATAATCCTTTTTTTATAGAAATTTTAGCGTCATAAAATAAGAACAGATAACATAAAAAATTTTGTAAACATTACTTTAAAAGTAGAAATTAACTTACCGATTTGTTTTTTCCTTTTTCATATATACATGAGTGCCATAATATCTGAATGAAGCTTATATTTATTGCACACAACGTCTAGTCAACTAAACAACTTCGACTGCTTGAGCTGTTTTGTCGTATTTACAGCAGATCAAAACAATAAACAAGGTAAAAAATAAAGTATCTATCAGGCAGTATTAATAAAAACAACTTTAAAAGATTTTTTGTAAAGCAAATGCCAAAAATATAACTGCCGGAGAAGGAGAACAAAGCACGAAGTTTACTGCAAAAAAATCGAAATATACAGACATTTTTTCTTTGCTTCATATCAATTCGGCAGCTTAGTGCCTTCCTGGATTTTTGCCAACTGTTGCTTTTTCTGTGATTCAGGCTTTTATATCTGCCATCACTGCGGATACAGTTCCGCTTAAGGATGGACGCTCATGCAATTCAACAAGAGAACGTTATCGGATGAGCAACATTTGTTGTAAAACATTATCTTAGCTTCCTTTTGTACGATAGGATGAGTGGATTGAAAAAAAAGATTTTCTTCTGTTTTCTTTCTTCTTTTCCTGCCCGTGACAAAATTATATATTGTATTTTAATATGTTATGAAATGGATATCATTGTCATTATCAGATGTAATAAGATTTCAAAACGTTTCCGTTTTTTTCTCAAGAATTTTTTTTTTTTTTTTTTTGAAAATAGAAACAAAAAATATGAGCTTTGAGTTACACAAAAAGTTTATATTACCATATGATACAACTGATATAAAAGGTCGAGGTAATGAATGCCAAAAAAGAAATGAACGATTGTCAAGATTCTTATTTCAGCACCTTTATTCTGGTATAAAAATTAACTGCCAAGTATCCGAAACAAATAATGGTTAGATGGTGTAAGATTTTATGCTGCATACAGTGGATAAGATGAAACTCTTAAATTGCATCTTATCATTCTTCTGTAACGTTTTTCGCGGTATTGTGCAATTTTGTGCTGTTGTAAAGTATAATATGATTTGATGATACTTATTCCTCACCAAAGATCCCCCATATTTGCTAAAATTTTCTTTTCACTATTTGAAATAAGTTAATGTAGTTGTCTTATAGTGTATGTGATGGTTTATTTTGGAAGATTTCATATTTAATGACTCCAACGATGAGTTAGGAAATGATAAGCACTTTAGTTTGCGAGATGTTTTTTTCCAGGCTTTGTGTTTCCTAAGTTTCTTTATTAGACTGATTTCTGCTGGTTATCTCCAAAATCTCACTAACTTGTTTATATGCTGAAAAAGCGTCTTTTGCTAACAGCCCGTGGAGGTTCGTAATAAGCGCATAATCTGCACCTCATTCATTTTGTATGAAATTCGATTCGTGCGACTGCTCAGTAAAATTTAGAAGGTGGTACACATGCATTGCACGCTGACTCTATGTAGGATTCAATTCCATTTGTGTCGGAATTGAGGCGATATTGTCCAGATTGGTAGCTAGACTTTCGACAGGGACTGTACCACGTTGTATAGTTCTGAGTAAACCATCTGAGAAGAAAAGTTGGTGTGATTTTGCAAGTAGAAATGGGATAAAAAATTACATATTTTATAAACTGCATCTGCTGCAGCCTTCTCGAATGTAAAGTTTTGAAATGTCATTGTGCTAGTTTGCCTCCTTTTTGTTCCAGGTCCCTGAATCATTATGGGCAATTGTCATCTGAAGCATGCTATTCATTGAATGGAAGGAATTTCTTACTGGAGTAATGTGTTCAAACCTTGAGCAAAATAGTTCAATTTTTTTTTTTTTAACGTTCTATTGAAGACAAGGACGGTGAACACGAAACTTCCCGCAGTCCGATATGTGCGATAAATTCTTTAAAGAAATTTCAGAAAAAAATAGGACTTCATACTGTAACAAATGTGTTTGGTTTCTAAGCGCTAAATTTAGTAACATATGGAAGCTTGAAAGTAAATTTTCTGTGTAGATAAAAAAGACGAGGATGAATAAATGCGCATTCAGTTTTGGTGAACTTCATATCTTTAAGTTCCTTATTTTTTAATTAAATTCTTTTCCATCTCTTAATTACATCCGTGTATAATCTTCTAAATTATTTCACTAATGCATACTTAGAAACTGTTGCCTGGTTTTAGCCTTGCTTATATATTGAACTCGTGCGTTCTTATCGGTATTGAGTTTTGAATCCTGAAAGAACTTTGTTATATGGATTTCATCATCATAGGCAATGTTGTTTAGATTGTTCTTTACTGAGCAGCTATTTTTTAGCAGCTGTTTAGTGACCACATCGTAAAAATGCCTCCTAAAGGGCAGGCTTTAAGCAAAAAAGCTGAACAGAAAAAGAAGGAAAAGATTATTGAAGATAAAACATTCGGTCTGAAAAATAAAAAAGGAGCCAAGACACAAAAGTATGTGCAACAGATAACTAACCAGGTACATTGTTGCTATTTTATTGTTTACTTTTACTATAATTTTGTGTTTTTCATCAATGGATCATATCGTTGGGATTGAAAGATTTATAAGAGTCGAAAAAGATGTTTGTTGTTTAGTTCCTCGGTCTTTTTTGCCACTTGCAAGTGTGAGATTTATTGAATTCTTCATGTGGAATCTCAGACCTTTCCAAAAACTTGAAAGGATCTGTAAAATGTCATCTATTTCACAAAAATTTGCCTAGTTTCCTTAAGGTCCGTCACGGAAATGTTAGCCAAGCGAAGCTTGAGGCGGATAAGGCTGCAGCAAAAAAGAAGCATGAAAATAATGATTTGAAGGACCTAAATAAGCTTTTGAAGCCAGTTACTGAAATGCAGAAAGTGAGTAAAGGTATGTTTTATACTTGTTTATGATTTTGTATATTATTGGGAACCAGTATATGGATTTTGCGATTAAAATTTCAAATTTAATTAAAAAATTATTATCAAATTTTACTATTGCAGATGTGGATCCAAAATCTGTTCTCTGTCAATTTTTTAAGCAGGGAATGTGCCAAAAGGGTAATAAATGTAAGTTTAGTCATGATTTGGCAGTAGAGCAGAAGACGGCGAAGAAAAACCTCTACGTAGACAGCAGAGATTTGGCGAAAGAAGAAGGTGGTTATGAGTAAAGTTTTTTGAAGCAAAAAGCTTTTTGTCTAAAGATTAGACCATCTAATTAATCTCTCATTGACTTACTTATTTTATCTTGGAGCATTTGGACTCTGCTATAATTTCCTGAGCTGGTTTCAAAAAAAATAATATTGAACTTAAATTTCGCCTTAATTTGTTAAAATAATCTTTCGAAATATCTGGAGGGGACTGCAACGGATTGTTTTGAATTTTTTTCTGTAGACACGATGGAAAATTGGGATGAGACCAAACTTAGCGAAGTTGCGGAAAGGAAACATGGAGAAAAGGATCGGAAGCGGCCAAACCAAACTGATATTGTAAGTTGCTTGAATATTTTTCGTTATTATTTCTCTTAGCTATATTCTTAGACGTAAATTGACTTCTGGTGACTTTCTTCTCGTAGCCGAGAGGTAAATAGCGAATGCTTAAAAATTTTTTATCTTGTTAGTGATTAAACTGCTTTTATTTTTGTACTTTTGTACCTCTCTAGTTTCCTCCTCGTTGAGCGCTCTGTTGAGACCCTAAACGTTGCTACAGAAATGATAACTTTTTTCTTCTATTCTTCCTTTTTCGTTCGTTGCCTTTTTTCTTCAAAGCTACTGGAAAGTTTTCGTTTTAGCAAGTGTCCAAGTGTTATCGGGCAGTTTGAAATTGTTCTACATGTTAGAATTCCAACACGACAAAAAAAATTGTTTTTCAGTAAGGGCTTCGTTTCTTTCTTTTTAGGTTTGTAAATATTTTATCGATGCTGTAGAAAATAGCAAATACGGTTGGTTTTGGGAGTGCCCGAACGGTGATGGTTGCATTTATCGACATGCCTTACCTGTCGGCTACATTTTGAAGAAGGACAGGAAAAACCTTGAAGAACAGAAACGGCTTAATGAAATAAGTTTGGAGGAGCTTATTGAGAAGGAGGTTCTTAATATTTTTCTGTTTTAAAAATAATTGACTATATTTTTTATGTTATTTGAAGTAGCAAACCATGGCAGTTTAGAAAAGACAGTTTCATTTATTTGTTTCAATTTCTCCAATTCTTTGAAAGTGTTTTCAATTAAAACCATTTTGATCGGGGTACAGGGATAATGAAAACAATTTTTCTTTTGCAGCTTTCTATTTCGGAGGATAAAGATTTACTGCTCTATTATCTAATTTATAATTTTCAGTCATATTTGTCTCATACTAATAGTTTAAATTTAGAACTCATGCGCATAGCTGCTTCCAATAGCCATTTGATAGAAAACCACCTTAACTTTCATTTTGCAGCTTTTGAATTGGCGCTCTTATATATTTATAAAGTGTTTAGTGCTGTTCTGGCAGTGAAAAAGGAAGAATTGGGAATTTTATACAGTTTTAAAAAATACGTTGAAAATAACATGATACTGAACGGGATATAGTTTACGTGATTAAGTATTTGCTTTTCTTTTTCACATTAGGAACGTCACTTCAAGCTTTATCCGAGAAGGTTTTATTTGCATGAAGAAGACTTGTTATGATCTCTTCGCATGTTCTACAGTTTAATACTTTTAGCGTGCAGCTCTAAACGCAAAAAGTTTGACCAAGATTACGTTAGAAACTTTTGTTGCATGGAAGAAAAAGAAGTTGCGTGAAAGAAAACTAAAGAGTTTGGATGCTGAAAAGGAAAAAAAGAAGAGCTTTAAACTGGGGAAGTCGGTAAGTATCTGAATTTTTTAGGTGCAATAATTTTCTTCTTCACTTAACTGCTACAGTGATTGTTAATGGTAGTCATTGTTGTCTCTATTTTATAGTTTTTTTTTAAAATAGTTTCTGAGGACTTTGATGGAGACTCATATTGATTGCTTAA